TTGAGTAATTTACTAAAAAGTAATGTCATTGAAATATGCATGCGATTGTTATTTGTTTTTTGACAACTGCTACGAATGTAACAATAAATAGCTTGCATGGCTGTCCTGTTTTTAATTAAAAAGTAAAGATGATGATGCACTTTCAGCAACAACACTTTTTGGTGGGCTTTCAGCTTTAATTTGAGTATAAGATTATGTAATTAACTCGCTCGGTTCTCAAGACATTCAAATCATCTTTCGGTAATTTTCACATAGATATTCAAAAGGTGAATATCTTCAATTTACGATTCTTCAAGAATTATGTAATTATCCTGCGTGGTTCTCTTGAAATTAATTGAAAGGTGAAGACGCTTCTTTTCAGCAACAACACTTTTTGACAGCTCATAGCAGACGAATGGATGACAGCAGAAGGCTACCGATGAACTCGTTGGAAAGCTGAAATTTTCAACTTCAATTTAAGTATTCGATAATGTAATTAGCTAGAGAGGTTTTTGAGTAATTTAATAAAAAGTAATGTCATTGAAATATGCAAGCGGCTGTTATTTGTTTTTTGACAACTGCTACGAATGTAACAATAAATAGCTTGCATGGCAAACTAGTTTTTTAATTAAAAAGTAAAGATGATGATGCACTTTCAGCAACAACACTTTTTGGTGGGCTTTCAGCTTTAATTTGAGTATAAGATTATGTAATTAACTCGCTCGGTTTTCAAGGCATTAAAATCATCTTTTCTCGCGAATTTTCGGTAATTTTCACGAAAGGCGAATATCTCCAATTTACGATTCTTCAAGAATTATGTAATTATCCTGCGTGGTTCTCTTGAAATTAATTGAAATGTGAAGATGCTTCTTTTCAGCAACAACACTTTTGACAGCTCATAGCAGACGAATGGATGACAGCAGAAGGCTACCGATGAACTCGTTGGAAAGGTGATATTTTCAACTTCAATTTAACTATTCGATAATGTAATTAGCTAGAGCGGTTGTTGAGTAATTTACTAAAAAGTAATGTCATTGAAATATGCATGCGACTGTTATTTGTTTGTTGACAACTGCTAAGAATATGACAGTAAATAGCTTGCATGGCTGTCCTGTTTTTAATTAAAAAGTAAAGATAATGATGCAATTTCAGCAACGACTCTTTTTGGTGGGCTTTCAGCTTTAATTTCAGTATAAGATTATGTAATTAACTCGCTCAGTTCTCAAGGCATTAAAATCATCTTTTCTCTCAAATTTTCGTTAATTTTCACGTAGATATTCGAAAGGCAAATATCTCCAATTTACGATTCTTCAACAATTATGTAATTATCCTGCGTGGTTATCTTGCAATTAATTGAAAGGTGAAGACGCTTCTTTTCAGTAACAACACTTTTGACAGTTCATAACAGACGAATGGATGATAGCAGAAAGCTACCGATGAACTAGTTGAAAAGCTGAAATTTTCAACTTTAATTTAAGTCTTCGATAATGTAAGTAGCTAGAGCGATTGTTGAGTAATTTAATAAAAAGTAATGTCATTGAAATATGTATGCGACTGTTATTTGTTTTTTTTTGACAACTGCTACGAATATGACAGTAAATAGCTTGCATGGCAAACTAGTTTTTTAATTAAAAAGTAAAGATGATAATGCACTTTCAGCAGCGACACTTTTTGGTGGACTTTCAGCTTTAATTTGAGTATAAGATTATGTAACTAACTCGCTCGGTTCTCAAGACATTAAAATCATCTTTTCTCTCAAATCTTCGTTAATTTTCACGTAGATATTCGAAAGGCAAATATCTCCAATTTACGATTCTCCAAGAATTATGTAATTATCCTGCGTGGTTCTCTTGAAATTAATTGAAAGGAGAAAAAGCTTCTTTTCAGCAACAACACTTTTGACAGCTCATAGCAGACGAATGGATGACAGCAGAAGGCTACCGATGCTCTCGTTGGAAAGCTGAAATTTTCAGCTTCAATTTAAGTATTCGATAATGTAAATAGCTAGCGCGGTTGTTAAGTAATTTACTAAAAAAGTAATGTCATTAAAATTTCAACTTACAACTATTTCTTTGTCTTTATATAACACACGTATCTTATTTATATAAATCCTAATCCTCTTTCCTCTATTTGTAATTTTTTGTTCCTTTCCTTCCTAATAAACCCTCTCAATAAATCCCTCTACCTGCGAGCGAATATCAGCGTTTCATAACAATAAAGTCCTCAAATGTACTATCTTTATTGCCCCCAGTATTAAGGATAAACTGATGGCGGCATCTGTCGCAAGGATCGTAAACTCGAAGCGCACCAGGACGACTATCATCATCATCATCGTTATTATCGCCTGTAAGCGTGAAAACTGGGTGGAAAATCAATACTCTCCAAAGTTGAGCTTCATATGGAACAGATGGCGCTAACAGCATCGACGCGAAACAAAATT